GGAAACCCCTTTCTTTCGGCCAACGGAGATGAATCTGTAGTTTACTTTTTATAAACTACTGTTGGTTGTTCATCACAATTGACTGCGTTGGTTGGGGCAGTCAATACCAAAATTAACTTTTTTTTAATCTTTGAGGAAACATGAGACTAAACTGTATTTCCTTCATGCCCTCACATTTGTTTCTGTTTGCTGTGACTGAGAAGGGAGGGGAGTGCAAGGGACTCGCGAGGTGGGCTGCAGAGTGGGAGGGGGGCGAGGGGACTTCCCTGCTGCGGTGCGTTTAGGATCTACACGGTGCAGCTCGTCCATAAAGCATAACGAGGCACTTTGGTGGTGTGCAAAGTTTATGAGGACTGCGATGCTGTGATATGCCGACATCAGAGGACCGCCCTCTGGCCCAGCCACCCCACCCCTGCTTGCATAGGGACCTTCGCTGTCCGCTCTTTGCATTGCCATCCCGTACCACGCCACAACGCCCTTCCCTTCCTTGACCGATGGAATTACGACCAGCTTTATAAAATATTTACTGGACTAATTTGGAGTTGTGGCAAGAACCCGAAACACAAATACAGCGCTTCCATGGCAAACTTGGGGCACGCATAACAGAACTCAAGCGCAGGTGACAGCCCCCTCCCAACTTGCGCTGTGACGTCGTCCACCGGCGAAGAGGAACTTCCAACACCTGCTTTCAAAACTTTGCTCCTTCCTTTTTGCCCAGCGGACCTAATGAATAAATAAATGACTAACTAACGCTTTGGCCTTCTTTATTTTGGCAAAGTATCTGCCTCTAATAAGGTGCCGCAGTACCCCTTAATGGCGAGCGCGGAAACGAGGAGAGAGAGGATGAGAGGAGAGAACACAGAGAGTCGGAGAATATAGAAAGGGACGGGGGGGGGGGGGTACAAGACAAGGCTGCCAATACAGCGAGGGCCCATTAGTGTCAAACAGGAAAGCCGTGCTGGCTCAGTGATGCGCCGTCGCGTCTTCGTCCAGATAGAGAGAGAAAAATAAAAATAATAAAGTTCATCTCTCTCTCTCTCTCTCTCTCTCTCTATTGCCTTCCTCCGCACCGCGGGGCGGACGATAGAGAGAGGAAGACAATCGATACACCGAGGACGCGGTCGTCGTCGTCCGCCCATGCTTTTCTCGGATGCAGTCGTGAGCGGCGTCGAAGAGGAAGGAAGGAAAAGGGAGGAAGAGGCGGAAAATACGAGGAATTCCCCTGGAGAGAATTAAGAAGCTGCGCGGGGAGTGGTACGAATTACGAGAACGACGGCTTAACACGCGGGGGCTGAGGAGCGGCGCAGGATATTGCTTTATTTGAGCCGCTAAGGGAGGCCCGAGGTGGACGGGGGAAAGAGAAAGAGAGAGGGGATGGGGGAGTGCTATCAATCGAGCGACAGGGAAATATACTCTTCGGACGCAGCCTGACGCTCTCCCAATTATGCGTGATCGACAGAATTGCTTGTGTTTGTGCGACGCTTATCAGACGCGAACCCGACGCGAAGGCCGGGCCTTTGATCTCGCGAAAAGTCCCTTTCGGTACGTATTCGCATCCCTGCGAAGGAGAAATAAAAAATAAAAAATACAAGGCGGGAGAGAAAAGTGTGCTTGCTGATGGAAGAGGTGGGGCGAGAGGCACCGGCAAACATAAGATTCACTTCTGAACTGCCCGATTTTGATGCAATATATTTCCCGACGTTTTTCTGCACAGAATAGGGCAAGTTATTTTTGACTTGCTAGAAATATAAAATTACGGGCCGCTAAAGCAAGGCCACTAAGCTTAGGCCACTAAACCTAGGTTACAGGGGGATGTGTATAAATTTGACAAGTTTCAAGAGGGTTACCTCTTTGCGAGTTTCATGAAAAATTGTAAACTCAAAATGGTATATTGCAAGGATGATGGCGATGGCTATAAGGTGCGGGCGGTTATCCTAAGTGCAGACTATACATTTTCATACATTTATATTATAAATTGCTTAGTGTGTTTTCATAGTGAGTAGTAAAAAAACAAAAAAAAACAAATGTTTGTAACGACCATGTATCTGAAAAAAGAACAATAAATGCAAAAAACAAAACCAAAAGCTCTTATTATTCTTTGCTTGCGTGTGGTTTTTAAAGCGCGCAGGCGTTGAATGACATTAGTTTTTGTTTTGGCTCAACACACGACAGCCGCATTGCAAGACAAGACACCATGCAGTTAACCCTTCATTTGGTAGGACAACAAATCATTTTAAACATGTTTTTGGTGGTGCTGGTGGTTGCTGGTGGTGCTGATGGTGCTGGTGGTGCTGGTGGTGCTGGTGGTGGTGGTGGTGGTGGTGGTTGCGGTCCACACGAGGTGTTAGTGGCGTCGTTCCGACCGCAGCCGGTCCTCGGCGCACCAAAGCCT